AATGGCTTCCGTAGGCATGGCAACTGGAGGCATGCTGTTAAGACCAATCTTAAAGGTAGAGGGACACCATTCAACAAAAGTGTTCAGCATCCGAGAGCCTGGTCCCTTAACATACTGCAGGGCGTCATAGACTAGCTTGGGACTTTGAGCTCCCCGATAGAGCATCGCGCAGGAAATAAAAGCTTTGTCGTGAATTGGTGTGTCCATGGTTGCGGCGGCTTGAGTGAAGGCTGCAGTTGTAACCTGCTTTATTGTAACCTGCTCGTGGGTCAGTTGGTCCCTACAGGACCATGGACTGTAAAACACCATCGGAAAGTGAATTCTAGGATAGGGGATAAGGTTAGTAAGCAGCTCAGCGCAATCGGCCCTCTGTGATCCGGTGTAGATGAATCGATGGGAAAGGAAAAGCGAACTCATTACGTTGGCTACCATTCGATTGATGAGCGTGAGTGTGGGTTTTTCGTCGCAAATATTCTTCACGCACTGGTCGTAAAGGGCCTTGTTATCCAGGACCACGTTGCAGTCGATGGTCTCCATAGCAGCGTGAGTGAAGAGTATGCTGTTGTAAGGGTCAACTGTTGATTGTGAGTAGGCAGCCGAAGGGAAAATGGAAGTCGTAAATCTGAATTTTTTGCCGAACTGGTCAGTCAGATGTTCCGCAACTAGGGAAGTCAGACCAGAACCAGTGCCGCCGGCGTAAGAGTGGACGATCTCGAAGGCGGACAGGGAATCACAGCGTTCCACCATCTTGAGAACCTCCTCCGCTATCAGGTCCATCTTGCCTTTGCCGACAGTCAAGTGACCCCTAGCGTAATTATTGGCTGCATCCTCCTTTCCGTTGATGAGACAGGTTGGGTTCCAAAATTGACGGTAAGCTCCAGTCCTCAGTTCATCTAAAAAAGACATAACATGCAAGTCATATTTATTGGAAGGTTCTCAGTATGTCATTTAAATGAAAGGAGCTGGAGGTTTTAGAGACACAGCGGTGTACTTGTTTCTGTGTTTGGCGCAAAGCAGGATGATGCCTTGTCAACTAGATACCCAAATTTGCCAGAATTCCTAAGCTAGCATTTGAATGGGCTGCTCAGATAAAGAAAGAAATCAGTGAGCTTCATCTTCTTCGCATTTTCCATTACGAACTACCGTAGCCTGTTAAAATACTATGGAAAAATATGAAGCAAGTGCAAAAAAACGAGATAACATGGAAAGTAAACGACAAAAATCGCTAAATAAGCGATCTGACCCACGATTTTGCCCCAAAAAGCAACCGATCCATTGCGTACAAGTTTCATTTACGCACATCAACGTCATCTAGGAAAGCCCATTTCCACTTAACTGTAGATATCCTCATGTAGGATCGTTAAAGTTTTGTTCCATTAACTCTCAGAAGGCTGAGAAAACGATTGACAACCAAATTCCCTGCCACCAATCTGAGGGGGCAGAATCCTATTTCTCCTTTCTGTATATATTAGTTGCATATTGATTACACAAAGCGGTGCAAATGACTGAATGTTTATTACCTTCTACAGTTTATCCTTCTATCTGAACTAGTCGTGGACTGGAGGTTTACAACCTAACTTGGTAAAATAGTTTTCTGCTGTTTTAGGAGGGAGCTTAGGACTTCATTGTTATATAAAGGACGATTCAACTACCTTGAAAGGCAAAGATAGTTAATGATAATATCGTATTCAACAGCGTTTCCTGTCCAGCGCATTCGACTCTCAAAGTTGTCTGAATTGTTGTCGTCCGAAATTCCTCATAGAAATCCCTACACTTTATGCTATTTATGAACAGCTATCTACAACGCGATTCTCCATGAGTAAAAGACAAGACATTTGAGATAACTAACTGTTCCATTTGATGCTGTTATCGTGGAGTTTTCCTACTGTCTCAATTTGTATGGCACAACTAATCAAAATATTATAGTTCCATGTATTTACTGAAAAAAATCAAAAGTCTTCATTGCTTTCAAAGGAACTTACCAATAACTGTCGGTTCCAGGTCAACCATGATCGCCCTAGGCACATATCTGCTTTTGACTTCGTAGAAGAAACACTCGGGTAGTTCGAAGTCAATTTTTGGTTCGCCTTTCACTGGCTGCCCTTCTGTGTCCAGACCGTGTTCGAAAGTCAGGAGTTCCCAGATGGCGCTTCCTAGCTGGACGCCGCATTGTCCTAGATGAAGAGCAATGAGTTCTCGGCCCATTGTGCAAAGCCTTCTTTATCAGCTTTTCCTTCCCTTCAAGTCTGCTAGCGGACTAGGTTGGGCTTGGCCAGTACCGACCGGGGATTTGAACCGTGCGGTCGATAATGTTTGTCGACGGGACGTTTTTGATTGGTCTGCTACAAGGGCGTGCCTCTTACCTTTAATTAAGATCCACTGTTCATAAAAAATATTAAAACCTTTTAGATATTGTGGTGCAATTAGCAAACAGGCGCGTGAAGACCACGAGCGAACGCAAAGGTGCACGAATGGATGAGTTTTTATCCATTGCTACGTCTGGAAAAAAGTTTTTCGATAGGTAGCCTGAAGTAATTCAGGTTTGGGAGGTGTTTAAGGGTATTTTCTCTCCTATATGAGCTACAGTGACTGTATGTGACGACTTTACAAAAATTTTAATGAACAGTTACTCCGAAATAAGAAGAATATGAAAACAATTATGAAAACAACATTGACAAACGACTAAGATCCACGAACATGTATCCATAGTCGAGTTAATTGAGGACAGGTAATTAAAAATTCCGCCACTGAAGGAATTGGAAGATGGGATAGCTGTTCCAGTATTAGT